CAACGTTGTAAGCATATTTAATGTGCAYTTGGAAATTTTTTTTTGACACCTGCCCCTTAGAATACCCTTACCGCACCATTGAAAAAGATTAGAACCCACTTTTAACAGTTGTCAAAATACTCATTTAACGTACTTACTTATGTTGTGCCTACTAGATCTGGTCCCAGTAAAAACTCCTACGCCCCAATAATCAAATGTCCTTTTGGATTATCTTATTATGCCCTCCTAGATGTATTCATTTGGATTTCGAATTGGACTTTGCAGGAGCGAGTCCGAGAACAAAAACAATATAGGTTTTCTAAACTTTTTTAAGGCTAAATTATATAGAACCCCCTTACTGCACTCGGGATTTCTTACTCACTTTTCTTACCCAYTCCCTAGCCACCGTGAATTAGAGCCACACATCTCTATTATGAATTAAGAGACGTGTGGCTGCAATTCAGGGCGGGTAGGGAGTGGGCAAGAAAAGTGAGTAGGAAATCTAGGTTCCAGTACTATGGGGTCAGTGACAAAGAACCCCTATAATTTATGACAAAGACCCCTTGAACTTTAGCCATGAGGTCCTTAGCCATTAAGTCAGATTACTGGATGTGATAAGTTACCAAAATACCCATATGGACTTTTTTATTTTCTTTTTATTGCCATTTTCTCTTAAACCCTAACCTAACCTAATTTCATGCGTTATTTTACGAAAATCAGCCACACAAACGATTGATTTCCACCGAAGGAATTAAACCCACATTTTAGTCCCTTTTTTTTTCCTTTCTTTTTAACTCCCCACAGTTCCTTGCTTCTCTTGCCGGAAAAATGTTAATCTTTCTTAGTTGGAAAACCAAGAACTTTATCATTTGTTGGCTGGGAATTCCTTCAAGATCCCGTCTTCTTTATTTTCTAACAATCAATCAGCATTAGAGTTACCGGAATCCATGGCAATTTGGTTGGTGGTGTCTTCTCACCATTCAGATAAATAAAAACGGGTAATTTGGGGATTTAAAAAATTAAACAGTTAAAATGAAAAATCTTTTTTGAAATTAATTGATAGAATGGTAAAAGAGGGAGGTCTTTGTCTCTTTTTCTGTAAATGAAAATATAAGGATTTTTGTCACCGACCCAATAGGGATATTTTCTGTAAATGAAAATATCCTACACTATCCTTTAGTGGTAAACTGACAAGTGTCCCTTGAGCTGCGTTTGTTTATGGTGTAAATGCTGAATGATGTAATATTACACTCTGATCAGGTTTGGGGCTGTTTGGATGGAGTGCAAAAGATCAATCGATGCAAAAGATCAAGCAAAATGCAGGCATTGGTACCGCCCAATATGGATTTCAACTTCGATAATGCCTGCTTTTCTCCCTGCATTAGAGCTCCTTCTAGCCCCAAATGTTTCTGTGAGTTCTACTTCAGTGCTCCAACTTAGTCGTACCAGGGTGACCTTTCCGTGACAAGGACCAACGACACATACAGTAGAGATGGGCCTTCTTCTTCTATTATTGTCCCATTTGGTTGGGGAGACAAGCTCGGAGAACAAATATCCAATGATAGCAACGAAATCAATTTCGCCTTTGATTTCAGTGGTCAGTTAGAGAGAGATTCACCACTGATATATAAGCTTTTCGACGGCGGCGTCATCCAATCCCTAAAACCTCCATTGCGGTTAGGTTCCTGAGTCCGCCACTCGGAAGAGCGTTGCTTCATCATCGAGGACCTCCAAGTCCCCCATCTCGCTGGGGGAAAAAAGATGTTCAGTGAAGCGTTGTCCCCGCGGCACAAGAAGGATTTCAATTCATTTGCAGCTGCAAGCCAACAAAAGCATACAAAACCAGAAAATGATTGAGAAAGGGTCTCTGGTTCAAAATCTGCCCAAAGAGAGACCAGATCACCCTCGCCATTCAGGGTTTCTAAGTTTACATGGGAAGAAGAATAACACCAAAGCACCAAAGCCACTTTCTCGAATCTGAATTTCTCCTCTTACTCTTCGTGTGGTTTTGAAAGGGCAACAAGAAACGGAGAGTGAAAGATTTTCTTAGTTTCGAATTGCAGTGGCAATTGGGTGGGTTGGGTTGGGTTTGGTTTTAATTCATCTAACCCATTAACCCATTAATGATACATTTACATAAAATTAAATGGATTGTGTTCAACCCAAACCTGCATTGACCCAATCCAATGCCCAAATCCATTAATCTTATATTTATGTACTTAAAACAAAAATACTAACTCCCATTTGACAAATAAGTTGGTTATAGCTTGGTGATAATAGTATTTGTTATTTAAACAAATAGTGAAGGTTTAAATCACATGACATGCATGCTATATTTACATAAGTGGCGAAGCCATTTAACTATATTCGAGTTTTGGGTTTGACTGAACCACTTAGGTTCAAACCGGCCATACCAACTTGAAGTATTTAATTGGATTATCTTCKAGCTAATCACATCAAGAGTGGTTGAACCGTTTGGGTCGGGTTGTGCATGTACAATCGGATCAGGTGCTCTAGACTAGGCTAAAGCAAGCAAGTTAGCTTTTAGGTCGGATTGAACAAGGTCTGGACCGAACCAGCCCATCCGGTTCAGTTTCATATTAGGGTCAACCCATATCAGCATGATCTAGATTGGGTTGGGTTCAGACTGAACTAACTAACCCAAACGAAGTGAACTGAGGTGATTGGGTCTGTTCATATTTAGATTGAGTTGAACTGGTYCGAACTTGGGTCAAGTTGATTTGGATTTATGTAAATTTGGGTGAAGTGTGTTGATTCGAGGAAAAACTAATTTTAGTCAATAATTAATAGAAAATTAATACATTAATTATAAATTATTTCATTCAAATGAAGAAAATTAAAAGAAAAAKACTACAAAATTAATACTTATATTTTTAGTGGTTAACCCAATGGTTATCCACAACCCAACCCGACCAACCCATTTAAATTGACCCAATGGATGATCAACCCATTTCCATTCCATTTCCACCCCTCATTCCGAAGTGCATTGGCTACGTTTGGAAGAGGTGTAAAACATCATCAGTGTAAAAATACACTGATGACGTTTTACACTGAACCGTATATATAATGATCGTTGCATTTTGAAAATCGATGTAAAAAAATGTAAAATTTTACATCGACAAAATTGATGTAGTTTTTACATCGATTATTGATGTCAAAATTTAAAGGTAGTGGGGTTTTACATCTATTATTGACATAAAACTACACTCCATCCAAGCGCACGCAAAATTGAATTGGARTGTAGTTTTACATTGATAATAATTACATTCTTTTACCAAACGCATACAAAAGTGAACCAATGTAAATTTTACATCGGTTCTTGATTCACATCGCATCCAAATGCAACCAAGAGGTCAAAGTGACGAACAAGGATCCTCTATTCCGTTGATGGGTATTCTCCAAAATTTAGCAAAAGTTTGTCGTGTATTTTACATCAATCATCTGAACGCGTTGGAGTGTTAATGGGTGTAAAAGCTGGTTCGCTTTTCACACTCAAACAACCTGACTGTTGTTAAACCCGTCAGTGTAATTTTGTATTGGGGTTATATTAGATAAGGGCAACTTTTGGGCCCTAATATCAATAAAAGTAATATATTTAATAAAAATTAAAAAATAAGTTAACTTTTAAAAATACTATCAAAAAGGGGCAAAGCTACTGTTCATCGTCTTCTTCTTATAGATTATTCGTCAAAGCCGTCCGCCGTCGCCTCCGACTGTCGCCTGTAGTCACAGAAATATCTCCTCAAATCTTTCTCAAACTTCATACCCCTTCGCCTCTATATAAAAAAAATCTCACTACTCGAATGGGAGTGAGTGAGAGAAAGAAAATTTTACTCATGACTCTCCYTGAACCATAGACGACGGCCATGTCCAAATCCATTGGTTTCCCCAAATCTAGAAAGTAGGGCTTATGTGGTTTGGGAAAACCATATGAGAACAACTATATCATTGTCGAACCGGTTCTCCTTGACCATGATGTCGCTATCCCCAGACGACCACTMTGTTTCTAACTTATACTGCGGCGAAGGGGACGCCATTTCCTGGGATGCCGACACCTACAGCCCAGGTCCCCCCATAACAACTAACACTTATCTGTCGACGACCGACGACAATGATGGCCAAGATAGGGACCGCTTTTTTGCGACACTCATGGATTTTGAACTCCACCACTTGCTGGTGTCCGACTATCAGCGACGTTTTCTCGATCGTTCGATTGATGCCACCGCTAGACAGGACGCCATTAACTGGATGTTGAAAGCATAATATTTGTCCATCTACTGAATTATTTTTCATTAAATTTGAGTCTAGCCTTCCCTTTCCTTATTGTTTTTTGCAATTTTGTTTTTCTTCTTTCCGTGACTCRGGTGCATGCATACTACCGCTTCAGACCTRTAACGATGTATCTCTCCATCAATTATTTTGACCATTTCCTATCCTCTCATAAGCTCCCGATACATAGTTGCCTTCCCTTGTTTTTTGTGGGCTTGTGGCCAGAAACGTTGCTTCTCATGTCAATGAAATCCGACGCTTGATGCCATTTTTTTTTATTGTTTCATCAAACGAACAACATGGGAATGGGTGGCCTCTATAGCTGTTGTCGGGCATGCATCTCTATAGCAACGAAAATGGAGGAAACGAGCGTTCCCCTCTTCTTAGACTTATAGATGAAGGACAAAGGCGAAAGCGGATATGAGCGAATGTGGTAGCGGGCGTCTCTGATGAATAATCTACAAGAAGAAGAAGATGAACAGTAAATTTGCCCATTTTTTATATATTTTTTTAAATTAACCTATTTTTTAAATTTTATTAAATATATTATTTTTACTGATATTAAAACCCAAAAGTTGACCTTACGTGATAAAACCCCTTTTCTATTTACACCGCAAACAAACGCAATGTTAACAAGTATATTTACAATGCGAACAAAAGCAATCTTAACACGTATATACACATGTAATGGTACATCTGTCAAAAACAAAAACCTAATAAAAGTGCAGGAGAAAAGTGTAGGACAAAAGGTCCCAATTCCTATACACGCCGTTCCCCAATTTTGCCTCGAACAGCAGAGTTGTAAGTCTGTAAACAGAAAGATGGAAGAGCAGCAGAACGAAGCAAAAGAAAGCTCATCATCCACCACCACCACCACCGCCACCAGCCCGAATACCCATCTCCGAACGTCTTCCAACACCGCCTGTCGCAACTGCGGTGGCCCAACCACCTTTACACCACCACCCAAATGGTCCGAAGTCTCTCCCCCTCCTAATTACCGCCCCATCCGTTCTTCCGCCATCAATCTTCCTATAAACAACTCCCAACAAGCCATCATCCTCGCCCCTGTCCCGCAATCCCAAAAAGTCCACACCATCTCTCCTCCTTACTTCTTCCAAGTCCCAACCAAGAAAATCACCCACCCAGATGACATCCGCCGTTTCCACGACTCTGATTCCGGCAAGAACTTCCTCGGCTTTGTCGTCGCCCTAAGCGAGTCCATCCGTGGCCACAAGATTTCTGACCACTGCCACCAATCCCTAACTCTAACTTCCATCCTCTCCCTCCTCCAAACTCTCTTCCTCTGGGTTGACGAGATCCCCCCTGTCCAGCAATCCTCCCGATATGGTAACTACTCGTATAGGGTTTGGCACGGCCGGATGACCGAAAATGCTGAATCTTTGATGCTCCAATTCCTCTCCGACGATCTACGGTCCGCCACCATCGAGATTATCCCCTACTTCACCGATAGTTTTGGTAATTCGAGCCGCATCGACTACGGTACTGGTCATGAGACTAACTTTGCGGCTTGGCTTTATTGCCTGGCTAGGCTGGGCCTTCTCAAGGAAGAGGATTACCCCGCTGTTGTTTCTCGGGTGTTCGTTAAGTATCTGGAGTTGATGAGGAAGTTGCAGACGGTTTACTGCCTTGAACCGGCGGGTTCACACGGCGTCTGGGGTCTTGATGACTACCATTTTCTGCCTTTTATCTTTGGATCATCACAGTTGATCGACCACAAGTATATCAAGCCCAAGTCCATTCATAACCAGGACATACTTGATAATTTTGCGGACGAGTATCTTTATCTCTCGTGCATTTACTTTGTGAAGAAGGTTAAGAGAGGGCTCTTTGCCGAGCACTCGCCAATGCTGAATGATATCAGCGGCGTGCCCACGTGGAGCAAGGTGAACAGCGGTTTGCTCAAGATGTACAAGGCGGAGGTGCTGGAGAAAGTTCCCATCATGCAGCATTTCCTGTTTGGATGGCTCATTAAATGGTATATCCTTGGATCCCTTCTCTCAAGTTAATAGCTTGTAGCCTCAATTAAATAAAGTCTTCAAATTGTCGTCTAAGCAAATTGAACTTGTAAGTCCTTGAAGAAGCTACGGCTACTCATATTGTTGTCTTAGGTGCTCTCTCTGAGCCAACTCCTCAAGGTGTTAATTGTCTGTACAGCGCACCCCAGAAAATGAAGTGTCAACTGATAGTCCTAAACTAGATTGCAAAACAGAAAATTGACCCATTCGGTTGGCACAGAAAAGAACTTCTGAAGGTATCCTCCTTCAGAGAAGTTGTACTCCTCTACTGTTAAATGTTTATAAATAGGTATGGAATTTTTTATTACAATAAACATAGCTATTAGTCTGAAAATACTGATAAAGAAACTAATCTGAATTTTTGAGTTGATAAAGAACAGTGATTTCTTCTATATATTTTGCCATCCAATGAGACAGGGACAGAAAGACTTGGTGCCTTTACCCAATGAACTACTTTCTCCAATATCTTTTCAATCAAGGCTTCATTGGTGTGTGTCTCTCCTTGAATATTCTAGCATTTTGCTCTTCCCAAACAGTTCATAACACCACTGCCTTTGTACATCTCCAAAGAATCTTCCCTCTTCTTCTTGGTGGTTCAAAGGAGGCCGGCCATAAAGGGCTTCCTTTGAAATGCTAGAGACAAAAGGGCAGAAGATTAGACAATGGAATTTAATTTTGCTATGCCATTCACAAGAAGCAAATATGAGGAGAATGCACAAATCCAGCCTTCTTTTTTGAAGGGTGTCACACATGCTAATCTTAAAGTGAAATGCCTCCTAACAAAAAGCCCTTGTCTTGGGTAGTACTTGACCCTCCAAACTACCTTTATTGGGAAACCAATGGGGGAATTGGGGATTGGGGTTAAATGATGAATCGATGAAAGCAGCAAAAAAAAGAAAAGTGGAAAAAGTCCTGACCGAATCAAGAACCCTTTAATCTATTATCAGATGATGATGAAGCATCAAAGAAAACCCCTTCTAAAGAATTCAGAAATTCCAGTACATGGAAAGTGTGGGTGGGTACCATACACCCCATCCCCGACTCTAACTTTGGAACACACTCCTGTCCCTAACCTTGATCCCCAATGGAGACGGGTTCCCTGCAAGGTTCAAAGTATCGATACGATACGAGTTTCGGCCGTATCGTATCGGTACTTAGAAACAGCCAAAACACTAATTTTTTTTTTAGTTTTTTTTTTCAAACTTTGGTTTTTTGGAAAGATTATAGGCTGTTTTTTAGTATTAAAAAAATGGGGGTCTGAAACATCTGGAAACAGGCCCGTATCGTTTGTAAAAGATACGATAGGGCATCTGGTATCGATACTTTGAACCATGGTTCCCTGTTGGGGACCTGAATCCCCAGAATTTTTAAATTAAAAGTTTTAGAAAATAAATTTACTTAAAACAAGGGATTTTTTAAAATATAAAAAATATTTTAAATATATTTTGATATATACGATATAAATTATATAAATAATATTATATGTATATATTTAATATAAAATGTATGTTCAATATATATAATTGGGGTCAAGGCGGAGCGGGGAATTGACTCCCCATCCCCATCCTTGTCCCTGGTCGGGTATCACCATTAATTGCCATCCCCTCTCCCGTCCCTGCCAAGGCAATCTCCATCCCTGACCTGATGGGGTTGGGGAAACTGGGTACCTGGCGGGGATGGGGAAAATTGCCATCCCTAGTGCCCAATGCATAGTGTGAGCGGTGGCTCCTAAAACATATTCTCTGAAATGTTTTAAATGTTTAGTACATAATGTGAACAGAAACCTTTATGCTCAGCTAATGGATGATGATGTCAAGTACATAGGTTCTTTAGCAACAAATTTCTGAGTCATGATGGACCTGTTGTTGCTTGGTGAAAATTGGAATTATTTTTCCGCACTTTTTAAGTAGATGTAAGACAACGGAAGTATCCATGCCAAATGGCTGGTGCTTCAGTTCTTTGATGATCATGGCCTTTGCTACAGCTACCTTTTTGTTCCTTGATGAACAATTGCAATTTTCTGCAATTCTTGATTGACAAGGACAATGGAAGAGTGAAAGCTTCCCTACCTATCTTTCACGTTATCATGGCACTTGTGATGTTCATGGTCAGATCGAATAATTTGTGATTTCTTCCTAGTGTTACTATTAATGGACCTTTTGTTTAATACTTAGTAATGATGGAGGTGTGATTGGATCCCATGTATAAGTGGACCATTATCCAATGTTGGTCCCATCTATCTGGGCTCTTGATGCCAAAGCATTTGATGGGCTGAAGGTTTACAGCTGCAAGAAGAAAAGAAACTCATACCATACCAAAGCTCAATCCCACCACCAAGACCAAACCCAAAAGGTTTGGGGTTGATTTTAAATTTATATTTTATTTCCATCATCAATAAAAAAAAATATCCTTTGCCACACTTATTTTCATTTAATATTGGTTAATTAATACAAGAGCAGGAGTTAATACTTGAAATATAAGACTTAATGAGAGGGAATTGAAATATGAGAAATATTGATAAAAAAATTGAAATATGAGAAATAATAGTAGTTCAAATTACATTTTGTGCCTCACAATTAGAGAGGGACCAAATTCAAAAATAGGGGTATTCTAGTCAAGAATCGGATTTAATGAATGTTAACGGAAGTTAATACCTTAAATACAAGACATAATGAGAGGGATTTGAATGAGGATAAAATGGTTGTTCAAATAACATTTTTGTCCTTACAATTAGAAAGGGATCAAATTAAAAAGCTGGGATATTTTAGTCAAACAAAAAGTTCCAYACTCTCATTCACACTTTAAATAGTAGTATAGATTTTGTGCCTTGTTGGTGTGACTCCAACATTTTCTTAGAGGTATAACACTATGACTCCTCTAACTGATTGGTGTGACTCCAATCTAGAATTAGAGTTTGAAAGTGAGACACCAAAGACTCTAATTCAAAGCTGTGTGAGTGTGACTCAGCCCAATATTCTCTTTCTCAGCATCCTACCACATATCCTTAATTCTCAAGCTGCATATTGGGGTTTTGGGCTGTGCTGCATCAGGTAGACTGGGTATGGATTGTACAGTATTAATCTTTGGCATTTTGCACTAAGTGGCTGCTCTCAGACTCGAACATGCATTCTCACACTTGCCAGCCTGAGATTTTACTTGGTGTAATGGTAAAAATGGAATCCTTTCATTGGTTAAGAAAACAGAAAAGGATTCCTTTCATTGTAATGCTAAGTGAAGACAGTCCCATTGGAATGGAAATGATAGTTGCACTGAAAATTGAGGTATACTTTATGCATGTACCTTTTGAAGTATCAAGCTGTGTTCTCATATTAAACAAACTATGTCCTGTTTAGTTTCTGATGGTAATTTCACATTGTTGTCATTGTCTTGTAAAGATTAATGTGGGTTGCTTGGAACCCTGCTGTTTCAATTTGGAAATTGGAATAATGACAATCTTTTGGAATCTTTACAGGGAGTAGGTTAATGAATCAGCTAAGTTGGACATTTGCTGTGTAATAAAGTTCAGGACTCACATCAGGATATACAAATATGGCTGGAAGTTGTGTTATTGGGGTTATATATTGTTTTTGGTGATACACATTAGGTAAGTTGTTTCTCTTTGTAGTCTTGTTGTATTGATTAACAATGCAGATCTAGTTTTGGAATCTTTACAGTGATTGGGTTATTGAATCAGCTTGGTTGGACATTTGCTGTGTAATAAAATTCAGGACTCACATCAGGATATACAAATGTGGCTGGAAATTGTGGTATTGAGGTTATAGACTGTTTTTGGTGATACACATTAAAGTAAGTTGTTTCTCTTTGTAGTCTTGTAGTACTGATTTACAGTGCAGATCCAGTCTTGGAATCTTTACAGGGAATGAGTTGATAAATCAGCTTAGTTGGATATTTGCTGTAGAATAAAATTCAGGACTCACATCAGTGTATACAAATGTGGTCATAAGTTGCGTTATTGAGATTATAGATTGTTTTTGGTAATACACATTCATGTAAGTTGTTTCTCTTTGTAGTTTTGTAATACTGATTTGCAGTGGACATCCAGTTTTGCATCATTCAATTTTGCCGTTTTTAATGGTATCAATATCCTATGCAAAATCAAGATTTTAATGGACTGGAAGTTCACTTATCTTTTCAAACTCCTTTTAAGAGAAAGGGAGAGGAAATAAATGTCTTCATGGTTATGATTTTGGGATGACTTTGAATTCTAATAGAGTTGTTAGTGCCATCTTAATTCAGCTTTTCTATGTTTTGWAGTCCAAAACTTATATTTATGTTGGGATAGGGGTAGAACTTAGGTCTTAGTTATAAAATGGTTTCCTAGGCTATGATTGAATGGAAGTTCTCTTGCTGTTTTAGGCTAATTGATTAGGGAGTATTTATTGGTTGGTGAGCTCACTGTCTGAAGAAACAACTGAGGCAAGCTTGGTCTAGAGAATCCAAAGGAAGCACCACTAGGCTCAACAATGGAGGTTTGTGCCCCATTCCTCAAAGTACAAGGCAAATAGCCAACACTTTGAGGTGTTTTGTGTTAAGGTAGTTCACATTATACATTAATCAGAATAGATTTACTCACACTTAAAATTCAAAAGATCCAAAATTTTAGTTTTCTGATTCTTTTTAGTTTGTTCAAGTTAAATTATACTCAACATACTTGGGTCTCTTAAAATTTTTTCGGAGTATCTATGTCATATTAATAGTTTCTCAACAGGTATGAGTTTGACAGCCCTTTAGTGATACTTCCCCTTTTGCATCTGAAATAATTGACTTGTATAATCTTTTTCATTAAATGATGATTAATCATCATTTTCTTTCAGTATGTAATTGACAAAGTTATAGAATAATTGAGGTTCTTATCTTTAGTTTTTGTGTCATTGTATTTTTTTTCCTTCCATTCATTTTTTCTGGAAACTTCTTTTAGGCGGTATTTTCTTTATTTGGGAGCAGAAAATCTAAGCTTTCTACTTTCTTTTTTCCTTTTTATTGCATCTGTGGAAAGTGTAAGATAATTATGGCCCTTGTTTACATCGAAACAGATGCTGCTAAAGGAATTGCGCTTCTAGAGTTCTAGTTATATTACCTTTTGAGGTTTGTGAAGTTTAAGCCTCGTGCTTTTTGTGTGTGGGCATCATGGCACCACGTCTTAGGTCTTTTCCTTCAATGATTTTTATTTATTTATTTTTTGGTGGGGCGGAGGGGACCTGTGCACTTCTGCTTTGCCATCCTTTTATTTGTATCTTCCATCTACATATTAATGCTCATGGGAGTGTTCTTCTATTACCTTTTTCTGTTATTTCAACCTCCCTGAAATTTATCATGTTTGTTCTTAGTAAAGCTGTTGATTGGTATATAACCATGGTTGGAATCAACTCAATCCCGATTAACCCAGTTGGGCTGGTCTTAGGTTTTCTGTTATGCAGGGGTGCTCAAATTTGACCCAGAACTTGGGTTGGGCTTGAGCTGTGGTCTTGAGGAAACATCATATTAAGGGTTTTTGTTAAGTCTGGATTGCAAAGTAAATGGCTTTTACATTGTGAAATGCAATTCATGTGATAAAATTAAACTTCATCGACATATGCATTGCCATCGTTACCCTTTGGATAAATCCCTCTTTTGTATTTCCTTCTTCCTCCTTGTATCTTCTACTTAACTTTGGTTCCATAGTTCCTGTCAACAACCAAATGAAAGTGTATTGCTCTCCTATACCATTTTACTCTCTTTATTTCTCTGAAAATGCTAATCCCTTGAATGAATTAATTTTGTTTCTTTCACATGAGAGATAATGAGCTGACCCTTAGGTTGTATTTGGTTTGAAAGAAAAGGTAGGGAAAGGAAGGGGAAGGTAGGGTTGGCAATGTTATTAGAAGAGAATGGGACAGAAAATGAAGATGTGTTAGCGTAGGGGTATTTCTGTCTTTATACCTAGATTAATGTTGCTGATCTGTAATGTTGTGTTGGAACAAGTGCTCTTAACTTAAGTAAGGGCACATAGGTATTTTTAGTTATGTTTTAATAATAATATAAATACTTCCTGGCCGACTGGGAGATGTCAGGTTGACTCTTTCAGTTCAAACCAGAATTCTCTCTTCTCTCTCTCTCTCTCTCTCTCTCTCTCTTTCACCTTTTCTTCTTCTACATAACTGAACTCAGACAGGCAGAACTCTAAGGCAGACCTGAATTCTAACAATATGAAAGGAGGGTTATGTAGAACTCTCCCAGAGTTGGAGGTACTCTTTAATGATTTCAACAAATATTGGTGGATGGGCTGATACTGATACTGGAATAGACGATAGCTCGACTTCCGTCAAGGGAGGCATGGATGCTTATCTTTTCCTAATTTTGGCTTTCTTCTCTTCGGCATTCTTCTTTCTCTAACCCATCCAATTTTACCTAATCTCTAATTTGCTGCAGTCCAATTTGTAATTTAGCACCAAATTTCAGGCTTGACCTGGTTTGGACTGCAGGATTGCTACTCCTATTATTAGTAATGGAATTGACTTCCAATTGCATGGTGATGATGATGATGACGACGACAGTAAGGAGGCATGATAACAGTGATCATGAAGATAAAGCAACTCAAATGAGGATAAAAAATTCTAGTCTTTTGATGGCTAAATCTTCAGAGGAGGCATGGGAAGCTGTTCACAGATTTTAGGTAACGTTGGTGGGTTTATCACTTAACCTCCTATTTTATATTTTTCGTCAAATCCCCCCTCCGAACTTTCATCCAATTAGGGGCGGAGCTAGGCGGACCCGTGGGAGCCATGGCCCCCTATGCCTCAAAATTTCCACATTATATGATTTCTCCACTCCATATATATTTCTCCCCTCCCCCCTACCCCATGGTTGCCTTTTCGTGGCCCCATCCATGTATATATATATTTTTTATCAATAACACTTTCATTAAATCATCAATAGAAGATTTACAAGAGGAAGACACACACTTATCTTCCAAGAGCAACAAAGAACCTCAAGAAAAGGAAAAAAAGAAAAAAGAAAAAAAAAACATTAAAGGTGCAGCTTAGCCCAAAACAGTGAATCCCTTTCTGCCCCTTGTTTAGCTAAACCGTCAGCTAGGGAATTAGCCGATCTTTTAACCCAACATGTCTTAACTTCCA